CGCTCGATTGGCCGTGGCCATTACCAGTCCTGTGCAACCTGACCTGACCTGACCTGACTAGGTGAACTGGACCACATTTTGGACTCATGACCCGCAGCGAGAGTGTTTCCGTTAGTGTTTCAGATAATGCCGTTGGCTACGTGTGTTCTAATATGTTTCGATGTACTGAAACATGTCGGCCTCTCACTGTTAACCGCATACTCTCTGCTGCAGAGAAAAGAAGCCGATACCTGCGCCGTTTGTTCAACGTAAAACACATGGATTTTGAACATGCCATATGGGAAATGGTCCAACTCCTTGTTTCTCCTCAAAAGCTTTTCAGAAATTTCAGATATCGTAATTGTATGTCATTTTATTGCTTATTATTTCTCTCATTTTTAGGTTCAAGGAGGCAGTGGGCACGAGATGACCCGGCATTTCTAGTGATTGTCGTAATAACGGTCCTAGGTGAGTTCTTCGATTGGGACAGCCACCTCGCCTAAATTCACCTGTTAAGAGTTATTTTTATTAAGCATTGTATGATAGTGGCTTTTAATTGCTGTTAATATATTAGGAACTGAGACATGATCCACACGCGTGCACCCGCGTGTACAAGTATGAATAGAATGAAAAGAATATTCCATTGGACAGCGTTTAAATAGACGAAGTGCCTTTACGAAAATATCATAAGTAGGAGCGCGATATCACCGGTTACTTTTCTGTTGAGAATGAGTGCGTATGTTGTTCACCTAGTTGAAAATCGAAAAGCTGCTACTGTAGTTTTCATTATCCCCGACAGTCACCGAGGTTGTTCGAAAAGGTACGCTTAGTTGACTTTCGTTGACTCTCAGGTGGCTCAACGGTGGCCGTCGCGTTGCATGAATGGCCTGTTTTACTTATGCAACTTGATCACCCTGGTCTTGACTATCCAGCTTTGACTTCCCCGACTATTTATTGGTACTCAGAGCTAGTTCTTACCTCTTCTTAACAGCTTTTTGTTTCTTATAAGACTTTCCCGCTTACACCCAACTACAGTCGAGGAATATGAGAGAAGTAGTGCGAACCCTGTCCTCCTTGGGAATGACATTAAACTAGTCAAGGAAAAAGTTTGCACGGAAGTACGACAGAATTCCTCCGGCTTGAGGATATTAAATGACTGGAATGCGATGCCAAATGAATCAGTCGATAGCAATTCGGTGAGTGATTTTAAGAACCGATTAGACTCAGTTTGGTATGACATATAGGGGCAGCCGTATCATGCAAGTAGTCCAAATTTCCTATCCTTCCTATTCCTCCCCTCACTTGACTCGCGAAACAGTCACTGCACGTTTATGTAACAGGGACCACTCTCGTGACCATCTTGTAAAAATCGGGAAGGTGATCCTGGCTATTTTTTGAAGAAGTCTCCATCTTTCGTCCGTCGGAGCACCCAGGGATCTCGAGTTCACATTCGCAAGAAACCAGACTCACTACGCACCGCGGTCAACGTCCTAGAACCAAACTGAGCTGAATCTCAGCTCCACGAAAATGATGGTTCCCACTGTGCTCCCTGTTACAGAGGACAACAAGCAAATACGATCGTGGATAGAGAGAGAACACGTGAGCAGGAACGACACGCTTTACACGTCTATTAATATCAATACATGGGCTGAAAACAAAAAGAATGACGTGATTAACAGCGTACAGAAACAGAACGAATAAAAAACACGATATTTGCCCCGGCAGAGAGAAAAGGATGTTCGCTTTACAATTTCGCTATAGATTAATGATGATTTGTTTGGGAGAAAAGAAGAAAATAATAAAAGGTAACTAGGCTTCTCTGTTCCGTAGATCGTAAGGTCTCGTTCTTTGTTGTTGTTGTTTTTGTTGTAAGATTTCTAATGCACTGTCTGACACAGGTGTTGGGACTGGGGAAGTATCAAGAATCTCATGATTAAGTGAGTTGTCTGTCGATCTAGGAGGTGGAGTTTCTAACTGTGTTTTACTGTCCGGCAGGTCGCAGTTTTCTGGTCTCGAAACCAGC